ACATGTTGTTGTTGTTATGTGCCGTTGAGTCAGACCCAACTCATAGCGACCCCTCCTTGGGTTTCCGAGGCAGTATCACTGAGGAAGTAGATTGCCCCATCTTCCTTCTGAGCAGTGGCTGGTGGGTTGGAACTGCCAGCCTTCTGGTTAGCAGTCAAGGTCCTTAGGCACTACACTAGCAGAGCTCCCACATACATACATGTACGTATACATATACACACATATATATACACACAATATATATATACACACACACATATATCTATACACACACACACACACACATATATATATATATAATCTTAAAGCTAGGAGGGAGTTTGGAGAAAACAGATAAAGATACTGACCACCCAAGGACAGAAAACAATTTGGCGGTTAATTCTTACAGCTGGTGGGTAATTGGATTGAGATAAAAACTGAGGTGACCTGAGTGTAAATTGAGTGTTCTTTTAAAAGAATATCAAATAAAGGTCTTTAAGCATAATTTATTCCTTTAAGAAATATTCATTGAATATTGTATTAGATACTTAATGCTGTGTAAGAATTTACCACAAATTTTAAAGATTTGTGCAAGTTTCACCTGCACTGTCTAACTGATCTTGGAGAAACAATCTACAAATACCTATCTGTTGGATCAAGTAGAAGTTACTGGTATTTTCATTATTTTCAGAGAGATTTTAATTTTTACTTTCACTAGTCCTTTTTATTTACTTCTATCACCATAAATCTTAAAATACATATGCAGTATCATCTTAGTAGGTTAACATGAATAATATTATGCAATCTAGTATATTGGAGAAATGAATTAGGAAGAAGTCTATTGCATCTGCTTCTGAGACATGAGTTTCATGATCTTTGGCAAACGGGTTTTTTTTTGGTTTCTTTTTTTTTTATTATTAAATTTTTATTTTTATTGTGATATGGGTGAAAATTTACAGAGCAAATACATTTTCCATACAGCAGATCACATACACTTTGTCTCATGACATTGACCACTATTTAGCACAATGCAACAT